GGAGTTGGAATTTAATAAATGAAATAACTAATGTGACAAGAAGCGAAAATAAATAATTTGCAAAAAGTTAGCATTATAAAATGAATATCCTGGCACATAAAGTACAAACAATTTTAAATGAAACGAAAGGAAAATATGATTTCCTATAGATTTAAGCAATAATGTTCGTTTCTCGCGATCGCAACTCCTGAATGAAAATACTCAGACAAGAAAATTTTCCAATCCCAAAAACAATGAAATAATATCTCCTAAACTCACTGCGACAAAAAAAAATTATATAAAAATCATAAAAGGATGCAATCAGATATTATATATCTAGCAAAGACAGACAACGCTGTAGCTTAAAGGAAAACAACAAAGCAACAAAATTATCAAAGCAGTAAGACAAATAGGTATAGATTGAACAGTATGACGCTCAGCCAAATATGTCATGTTCCTGTTGGTTTATGTTGTCCTTTGTGTCATATATGTTATGTTCCTGTTGGTTTATGTTGTCCTTTGTGTCATATATGTTATGTTCCTGTTGGTTTATGTTGTCCTTTGTGTCATATATGTCATGTTCCTGTTGGTTTATGTTGTCCTTTGTGTCATATATGTCATGTTCCTGTTGGTTTATGTTGTCCTTTGTGTCATATATGTCATGTTCCTGTTGGTTTATGTTGTCCTTTGTGTCATATATGTCATGTTCCTGTTGGTTTATGTTGTCCTTTGTGTCATATATGTCATGTTCCTGTTGGTTTATGTTGTCCTTTGTGTCATATATGTCATGTTCCTGTTGGTTTATGTTGTCCTTTGTGTCATATATGTTATGTTCCTGTTGGTTTATGTTGTCCTTTGTGTTATATATGAAACCAGTTGTGTTGTAACTTTGTTAGCAATTGTGCCATCACTTTGAAGCCGGTTGTGTTGTCACTTTGAAACCAGTTGTGTTGTAACTTTGTTAGCAGTTGTGCCATCACTTGAAACCGGTTGTGTTGTCACTTTGAAACCAGTTGTGTTGTAACTTTGTTAGCAGTTGTACCATTACTTTGAAACCAGTTGTGCTGTTACTTTGTTAGCAGTTGTACCATCACTTGAAACCGGTTGTGTTGTCACTTTGAAACCAGTGTGTTGTAACTTTGTAAGCAGTTGTACCATCACTTGAAACAGGTTGTGTTGTCACTTTGAAACCAGTTATGTTGTAACTTTGTTATCAGTTGTGCCATCACTTTGAAACCAGTTGTGTTGTCACTTTGAAACCAGTTGTGTTGTAACTTTGTTAGCAGTTGTGCCATCACTTTGAAACCAGTTGTGTTGTCACTTTGAAACCAGTTGTGTTGTAACTTTGTTAGCAGTTGTGCCATCACTTTGAAACCGGTTGTGTTGTCACTTTGAAACCAGTTGTATTGTAACTTTGTTAGCAGTTGTGCCATCACTTTGAAACCAGTTGTGTTGTCACTTTGAAACCAGTTGTGTTGTAACTTTGTTAGCAGTTGTGCTATCACTTTGAAACCGGCTGTGTTGTCACTTTGAAACCAGTTGTTTTGTAACTTTGTTAGCAGTTGTGCCATCATTTTGAAACCGGTTGTGTTGTCAATTTGAAACCAGTTGTGTTGTAACTTTGTTAGCAATTGTGCCATCACTTTGAAACCAGTTGTATTGTAACTTTGTTGGCAGTTGTGCAATCATTTTGAAACCAGTTGTTTAGTCACTTTGAAATCAGTTGGTTTGGGGATGAAATTCGATATGTAATAAAGGTTGGAAGAAAGATAAAATTGCAACTCCAGCAAAAGGGACATATTTAGTGGTCAATAAGAAGTTGGAGAAAATGACTGTCCGAGTAACAATATACAATACACAACGATTTCATGCATCAACACAACTAAAACAAAGATTTAATCAATCATGAATTTGCAGACATCTTAAAGATGAAAAAGTATTTGTTGTGAGATAAACATAATTTGCCAATCACTTGTAATTTACTGTTTCAACAGTTTTAACTGCAGGATGTGGCAGCTCTATTTTTAACAAGGCACAAATATACTAAATCCCAAAAACATTTTACGTTTGGTTTGCATAAATGAAAAGTTATAACAAGGACACATTTAGTACATACAATGAATCATGGATTTGTAATTAGACTATAATACTAGACATAGGAAATAAAAGTCAACATTTCCATGTAGAAAATTTCAAAATACAACTTCAACGTAAAACATTTCGTTCCGGTAAAATATATACCATGCAACGACCTTGCTACGGTTTCATTGAATTCTAAATCAGGTCACATGACAGATATACCTTGAGGTTTAACATCTCGGGAACCAACCTTTTCCTGTGAGGTGTTGACGGTAAACAAAAGATGTCAGTGCAGAGCGCAGTATGATTTACAACAAATCTTTTTAACTAAAATCCTTTATTGTGTGTAGTAAACCCCTTTGTAACACTTTTTACAATACAATGCTTATACCCCTGTATTAGCCGATTTAAAAAGTAAATACACGGAACATAACCACAAAAGAAAGAAAGTAAAAACGATGAGACAGGCTATTTGTCTTTTTCTTTAAGGGAGCCACGACCAGACTGCTGGTACTCATATTAATTATATGTTGACACACAACATCGTATTTTAACATATTTAAAGGTTTAGATTAGCTGCATAATTTTGTTGTTGTTGTATTTTCGCAATGATTTTAATCAGCCTTACGATTGATTCCGTGTTTTATAGAAATAAATATTGTTTATATAAGTGGAAAAAGAAAAGTTGCAGATATATATTAGTGTAGGTATGGTTAATACATCTTATAAAAAACTTTTTGTCTGTAAGTTTACAGAGTCGACAACCTTATAATATAATTAATTTCAAATATGAATTTTCTATAGTAGTTTGCTTTGGATGAATAAAGGTACTCAAGCAAAAGAAAAATATGAAAATGTTATAGATATGGAATCATTTGTATACATATGTGCACTGACTTTAAGGATTTCAACACCAATACTGACATTGTAAATTAATCCACTTGGATTAGTATTGTTGTTTCATTTATAATTAATTTAAAGTTAATTCATAGCCCCGAGTTAGATTTTAACTTTAGTTAGTAAGATATTCATATTTCATCTGAGACTAATACATGAGCTATAACAAATAAACCTATATACCTCTGGTCAAAGTTTTACTCGCATTTCAGATGGAATTACAAGAACATATAATAGAATGATTTGAAAATTAATATACAATTATTTATATTAAGATATGGGGATTAATTAAATGACAGATTAAAGAGAAAAAAAATACAATAACATCTAAGGGTTACTTTAAACATTTTGACTGTTAACAATAAGATTAAGATGGCAGGTACAAAGATTACCTTGCAGAAACTGACACATATTGAGCTGCCAGGGAGATTTGTGTCAGGTCTCATCTAAATGACAGTTAAACTGTAAAATATGAGGACAGTATTACACGGAGAAAATTAATGTCCTGCGCATTCTCCATTCTCCATGCTCTTAAGAAGTAAGCCTTTGACGAGTTTCCAAAAATATGCATAAACTGTCTGGATTTTATTTCTTTAGCTATAAAACTGGATATCATTTGACATGAATTGTTTTCTGAACTGAAGTGTTGCCTTTAAGGACTATAAAATACTCTTTAAAATATAGACAAGGACGTTTTTATGTCATTTTGAAATATGAGAAAAAATATTGAAATGAAATTAATATTAGTAAAACTTATTTTTCTTTATACATTGTACCTCAATAAAATGATAAGAAAACGACCATAAAACCTGGTTTAATTAAAGTTTTCAATACTAAAAAAATAATGTTCTCTCGAAAAGTAACATTAATAATGATATATGTTGAAACGAATTAAATCGCAAAATATGAATTCGAATTCCGTTTTGTTACACATTACAAACCTACCCCTTTAATAGTTATCACGTATGGCAATCTTGACGTACTTTGTCACACATATTGTACAAAAACTAATTTATGAATGAAAATTTACATACTATTGATATACATTTTTATGAATGAACTACCGTATAAAATTTTTCATTCAAGCGATTATTTGGCCGCTATCGTTGATGGTATCATGTTTCAGAAGCCTTGGTACTTAGACAGATCATGTTAATGCCGTTGATTGTTTGTGAAGCAGGTTATGATTGGATGTTCCCACAAAGATATAACCGATTATAGAGCTTATTCATATCTATTTACTCTTATCATAGAAAAAAGTTGACATTTTATATAAAGGTGGCGATAAATATGACAAAACAATTTATCTTAACGATACAAACAACTGAACAGAGTTCTGTACTTTAAAGTCTCTATAAATGTACTTTAACTTTATCACTGCAATAGAAAAATAAAGTTTTACAAATAGATTTACATCAATTGTTTTAACACAGCAATAACTCCCTTAACATCTAGATATATAATACGAACACTACAAAGTATGATTTTAAATTCACTTTATAGTTTTTCTTAGGCAACAACAGTAGAAAAATAACCGACTAGCCTTTTAATGTGAAGAACAGCAATAAAGTCATATTCCCATTTATATATCTGAATACCATTCATTTTCCCAACCACCTGGACGTAAAGCAACCAACAATCAATCAATCATTTTCTAAACATCTCTACCTTTCTATTTAAAATAAATAGGACATTGTATTGTTCATTAGATCTAACAAGGTACATAAAGACTAACGGTGGTCTTTCTAGTTAATTCACAGATGTTTACAAACCATGCTTATTTTATTCATTGTTGAAGGCCGTACGGTTGCCTATAACTGCTTACGTCCACTTCATTTGAACTCTCATGGATAGTTGTCTCATTGGCATTCATACCACATAGACTTATTTTTATATCAATTTAAAACAAAAATCATGTAATTTCATTTTGCTTACTTAATAAGTTTTAAGTGGCATCTAACCCGGCTACTACATTTGCTACTCAAATCCTTTTGCATTATGGAAATCAATGCCTGTCTATAATATGTATCACTTTTTGTTTTCAGACGTCACAAAGATGGTCATCTACGGAGATAGCAGTCACGTGGCCGAGCAATCAAGACAGCGCGATTCCCCACAAGATCAGCATTTGAAAACGATATCAGATACCCAGCTCCGATATATCGATAGACATGCGTTCCGTGGAAATGCGTTGCTTCGTGAATTGATCTTATCTGGGAATAATATTGGCGTTTTGTATCCATTTATTTTCCACGGATTAAGAAACCTGAACATATTATCCATTCAAAATAATAATGTTCAACATTTGTCAGCTGCCGTTTTTAACGGACTAAGCCAGCTACAGGAATTGAAACTTAGTGATAATAAAATCCGATTTCTACCGTCTACTGTCTTCACTTACCTTGTCGACATGAAGGCTCTTTATCTAAATGGAAATAAACTCAGATCCGTACAAAAAGAATTGTTTTCTTCCATGACAAAACTAGAAAAACTTGATCTGTCCAGGAACAACATATCTGATTTCTATGACGAGGTATTCGATCAAAACATGGCTTTGAAAGAGCTCTTACTTGATGGCAACAGACTTTGGATGATCAGACCGAGATGGTTTAAGAATTTATACGCACTGCAGAGCTTATCAATAAGAGGTAACGAAATAACGCAGTTATACCCGGATTCGTTCATGAATTTGATGAACTTGCAGGACTTACTTCTATCTGCAAACCATATTAGTTTAATTCATACAGGTGCGTTTAGAAATTTGCAGGATTTGAAGGTTTTAGACTTGTCAACAAATGATCTATCGGAAGTGTCGAAAGCAAATCTTCTTGACCTAAATGCACTGCGGGAATTATACCTTTCGTCGAATAGACTAACAAATCTCGGGAACGAAACGTTTGAAAAGTTTGAAACTCTTATACGATTAGACGTTTCTAGGAACGACATAGGAGAAATAGAACAGAAAGTGTTCTTATCACTCCGACAACTCCAATATCTAGACATATCACATAATAAATTACAGAAGATCGCCAAGGGTATATTTACCGGATTAAAGGAGATTAAGGAATTAAAAATAAATGACAACTTCGTCGGCGTTATAGAAAATGGGGCATTTAATGTCAACGAGAAAGATCATTTATCAAAACTCTCCTCACTTAGCCTCGCTAACAATAATCTAAAAAGATTATCCGCACTTACTTTCCGAGGCATTCCGAATCTTAAAGTGTTAAATTTAGAAAATAACAAACTCAGACGAATGCATAGCATGGCATTTGTGGAATTCACTAAACTCGCCTCACTTTCTTTACGGAAAAACAAGATTAAGAACCTAAATAATGGTATTTTCCATAACCTAAAACACTTAATAGATTTAGATATTTCAGAAAACAAAGTGAAACAAATAAGCGGCAACATGTTTATCGGACTTGACAATTTAGAAGAACTTCAAATTGGTAAAAACCAAATTCGATCAATTGATAAAGATGCATTTAAAGGTTGTCCGAACGTCGTAGAAATTGACCTTCAGCATAATATGCTGATAAGTTTTAATTTTACAATTCTGGAACATTTGTCTCAGATTGCTACACTTGATTTGAGTAATAACCAAATCTTCTGGGTGGACGTGAAAGCTAACTTGTATTTAAGACTGAAAGACATAGTTCTATCCCATAATAATCTGCAGACGATGAGTAAACGAATCGTGAACCTGCTGGGATCGTCATCACTAATGTCTATTCAGGGGAATCCATGGAAGTGTGATTGTAACCTTGGTTGGATAATGGACCCCTCCATCAATAAACGGGTGAAGTTCGACATGTTAGACGAAGCAATGTGTAAGACTCCATCAAAACTCCATGGATGGAAGGTATGGATCGTTTTATTATTCAATATTTTAAATATGTCAATGTTTTTTCTTCCTTCAATTTATTGACAGTATGTGAAAACAGACTATGATTCCCAGTTGGCAAAAATAGTTGCACTTGATATACGAAATATTTCTTGTATATTATTTTCTATATAATTACGTTCTATAACTACATGTATAGATTTTTTAACAAAAACTCTTTTTTTATACCACACACATGCAGTTTATCAATATTAAGGGTTTTTTTTTATTCGAGTGTTAAGTTTCCAGTTAAATTGTACTATTTAACTTTGTTTTGTACATAGTATTACAGACAATTATATTTTACAGATTTCAGATCTTACCACCAAAGATTTCACATGTAAACAACCTATTAACGACAGAGAACGAGTAGATGTGACGTGCAGTGATGGACCATTTAACAAAAAGACGTCCAATAATAAAAAGTAAGCTTTTATTTAGCTTAAAATAAAGCCTTAGATACCACAGTCTTCCTATAATCCACACGAAGGGTTATTGTAGTATATAACTATGGCCACCCTGGTTCTTCCGACCGGCAATCCCTTGCCAAAGTGGGGCGTCCTTTTGACTGTGCGGTATGTAGAGACTCGCAGCCACGTCCGATCAGAATGGGGAAGTTAACGTTATATCAGATACCTAGTGTACAAAGAGTGCAACGCTCTCTGCACATGAAAGAACCCTTTCGACAACTGTTTTAGGGATAGTAGGTGGTCTGTTGCAGGGTTCAATTTCTTTCCATTACCGATCCGACCTCGTGTTCTAGTGGAATTCCTAATATCCTAGATTCACCCTGGACGACCTCTATTATACGACCCTTCACCCCGGAATATACGACCTATCTATTGTATTAATTGTCCAATTGTTCTCGTTCTGATCATGTATGAAATAATTGCAACTGGACGAAAACAACTATTAATCAATAGTGTAATCTTAATTTCCTTGTAAGTAGCCAATGGTATTGTTGTACGGTTAAATTTGGTAATTGATTTACATTGTCTCAAAATACTTTGCCAATTTTGAGATTTTGATGAATCAATTAAATTTCAGGAGGGTTAACTGATCGTTTGTTGGCTTACCGTCAAACGTCAAGTATGGTGGACCATGCGTTGCTCCTTGAAAACAAATGACCAAGTATTCTAATTTCTACATATAATAATAGACCACATTTATCTATCCTTAGTCTTTTGTTGTTTTGTGTATTTAATTAGTGATAGTTTTACATGTTAATCTTTGTGGTTTTATCATTAACTTGATCTCTAGTTAGTTTTACATGTTAATCTTTGTGGTTGAATCATTGACTTGATCTCTAGTTAGTGTTACATGTTAATATTTGTGGTTGTATCATTGACTTGATCTCTAGTTAGTATTACATGTTAATCTTTGTGGTTGTATCATTGACTTGATCTCTAGTTTGTTTGACATGTTAATCTTTGTGGTTGGATCATTGACTAGATCTCTAGTTAGTTTTACATGTTAATCTTTGTTGTTGTATCATTGACTTGATCTCTAGTTAGTTTTACATGTTAATCTTTGTGGTTGTATCATTGACTTGATCTCTAGTTAGTTTTACATGTTAATATTTATGGTTGTATCACTGACTTGATCTCTAGTTAGTTTTACAGGTTAATCTTTGTGGTTGTATCATTGACTTGATCTCTAGTTAGTTTTACATATGAATCTTTGTGGTTGTATCATTGACTTGCTCTATAGTTAGTTTTACATGTTAATCTTTGTGGTTGTATCATTGACTTGATCTCTGGTAATCTTTGTGGTTGTATCATTGACTTGATCTCTAGTTAGTTTTGTGGTTATATCATTGACTTGATCTCTGACTAGTTAGTTTTGTGGTTGTATCATTGACTTGATCTCTAGTTAGTTTTGTGGTTGTAGCATTGACTTGATCTCTAGTTAGTTTTTTGGTTGTATCATTGACTTGATCTCTGGTAATCTTTGTGGTTATATCATTGACTTGATCTCTAGTTAGTTTTGTGGTTGTATCATTGACTTGATCTCTAGTTGGTTTTGTGGTTATATCATTGACTTGATCTCTAGTTTGTTTTGTGGTTGTATCATTGACTTGATCTCTGGTAATCTTTGTGGTTGTATATTTGACTTGATCTCTAGTTAGTTTTGTGGTTGTATCATTGACTTGATCTCTAGTTAGTTTAGTGATTGTATCATTGACTTGATCTCTAGTTAGTTTTGTGGTTGTATAATTGACTTGATCTTTGTGGTTGTATCATTGACTTGATCTCTAATAATCTTTGTGGTTGTATCATTGACTTGATCTCTAGTTAGGTTTGTGGTTGTATCATTGACTTGATCTTTGTGGTTGTATCATTGACTTGATCTCTAGTAATCTTTGTGGTTGTATCATTGACTTGATCTCTAGTTATCTTTGTGGTTGTATCAATGACTTGATCTCTAGTAATCTTTGTGGTTGTATCAATGACTTGATCATTAGTAATCTTTGTGGTTGTATCATTGATTTGATCTCTAGTAATCTTTGTGGTTGTATCAATGACTTGATCTCTAGTTATCTTTGTGGTTGTATCAATGACATGATCATTAGTAATCTTTGTGGTTGTATCATTGATTTGATCTCTAGTAATCTTTGTGGTTGTATCATTGACTTGATCTCTAGTAATCTTTGTGGTTGTATCATTGACTTGAATTCTAGTAATCTTTGTGGTTGTATCATTGACTTGACCTCCAGTAATCTTTGTGGTTGTATCAATGACTTGATCTCTAGTTTTGCATACTTCTTATTGCTGTTTGGTTGACATGTTTGGTTTTGTCGGTTGACATGTTTGGTTATGTTGATTGACATGTTTGGTTATGTTGGTTGACATGTTTGGCTATGTCGGTTGACATGTTTGGTTATGTTGGTTGACATGTTTGGTTATGTCGGTTGACATGTTTGGTTATGTTGGTTGACATGTTTGGTTATGTTGGTTGACATTAGTAATGTTGTTTTCAGTTTGATAATTTAAAAATTTTGGTTGGCCAAGAAAACTGTGACATACATTGTTGATATAGTCATTTACATACGAATAAGCCAGATCATTAAGTCTAATCATTCTTTTGTGAGGTCACCGACCTGGTCAGGCGTAAGGCTGCATTTTAAATTAGTACATTTAACATATTTACCTGTGAATTAAAATACAACATTAGACATATCTCCTCGTTAATCTCTCCATAAGAAGGTAGACAAAACGCAATCGAAACAAGTGTCTAACATTTTGATCTATATGCATGTATAAGACTTGGATGGAGAGTTGTCTCATTGGCACTCATACCACATCTTCTTATATCTATAAGAAAATAGACCAAACGATATCGAAGCAACTGTCTAACAATTTAACCTATATACATGTATAAGAAGGTACCAAACGATATCGGAGCAACTAACAATCAAAATGTATGAGACACATAGACAACACAAAACAAAAACAATTGATAAAGACATATGTATACATTGTAAACCACAATCAAACTGTATATTTTGTATTTTGGAAATTTAAGTTTGGACAAATTGCAAATGGTAAACTGGACATTATATTGTTATAATGGTAGTATGAATTTTCAGATCGATATTCACTCCATTTATTCCATATTTTACATAATTTACTCTATTTTTGTTGTTGTTGGACTGCTGTCTCCTTTACATCACATCTCCGCAAATTTATATTCAAACATATTCAATTGGATACACTGAATATAACAGTAGACGTTTTCGAAAAGCAATTGCAATTACAACAGTAAAATTTCTAATGAATAGTACAAGACACTTGTTTTCCCGAAATGCATGCAGTATAATTTATTTTAAATTCTTAGGTAAAGAATCATTGTAGCATGTGATATAATTAATTTCAGTCACTAGGACATCACATTGCACTTTAATGAATAATATTAAATATAGTTTGAAATATGAAACCAAGTTCTATTTTAATAATGTTTTTATATGTCTTTATAAGACCAATAGTATATATAAACAATTTAAACATGCAAGACCGTTATTATTAAACCAAACACTTGTAAGGTTGTAAAATGTTAAAATGACTGATAGCTATCTATATATTTATGAACTATTAATATTCCGTGTATTGTTATCTACATGTATATTATCTGTCTAAGGCGCATAGTGAAGTTGTCTCGTCTAACTGTTCAAATAACTTTATTCAAATTTAAAATCAAATGATAAATTTTGATTTAACACTTCTAATTTACTTCTGAACAAGGTTTTAGTCTCTCCCGCTGTTTTGATTGTTTTTATATTATATTAGTTATCTTCCAGCAAAATTCAGATACTTAAAGTTGTCCCGAGTTGAAAATTAAAAGAGAAACATGCCGATGTTTCTACGCATGATGCCTTTATCTTATTAGTCACTCGCTAGAAACGGCGAAACCTCAAAGTTTGGATACTTAAAGATATAAAAATATAAATCTGACAGATTTTTTTTTCTGTTCAAAATGTTATATAACTTTAAATCAAATAAACATTTTAAAAAATTAGTTAAAAAAAATACTACATGAATGTAGGAAATATCATATTTTTATTTTACGGACGTTAGGACTAATCCTTTCTTTTTATTTTAATTTTCAGGACAATGAATCGAAAGTTGATAAATAAACACGTGACCGTGTATGACTGGAGAAATGCTCCCGTTTCAAATGGAATTCTTGTGGCTGAAAACTGGGCACTAGTTGGAGCAACTGCCCTAGATCATGTACCGGTAAATGAAATCATTGTAAAAATAGGTCATGGCAAACTTAAGGCCAAAGTAATGAACGTAATCAAACATCCGTTACTATCGCTGAAAATGCAGAATTACGACGTTGCTTTACTACAGTTGGGACCAGATAAAATTAACGATTTTGATGGAACAATTCCATGTTTTCTTACACAACGTCAATTCAAAACCATTACAAAAATAATCCCGAGATTTACTGTTACAGCACGAATAAGAAAAGGCGCCAAATCAAAACTAAAAATACGAAAAGGAAAGCTACGATCATGTAAAGAACCTGATTACCTATGTTCTTATTTAAAGAAACCAAAACATAAAACAGATATGTTATTGAATGGATCACCTTTGTATGTTGGACATCAGAACAATTTACAATTAGCAGGTATAGGCTTACAACCATCATTGTCACATGACATGAATCAAGCTAAGTTCATTCCATTGTGGAAGATATCAGACTGGGTTAGTACTGTGATGCAGGAGTACAATAAAAAATGTCATATTGATAAGAAAAATAAACTTGTATGCTCTCAACTCAATCTACCACACGCTAATGATTTATACGCAAAAATGCAACACAAAGAAATCCACTGAGAAGTAGTACATAGTAAGCACAGGTGGTTAATTATCAGACATTCCCATTCAAGCATATCTTGAGCTACTTCAAGCTTAAGCAAGGACATAGAAAGCAATTTTCAGATTGAACTTGCGTAGCATTCATCCATGCAATGCATTTGCCTGGCAAAGCAAGATGCAGTATCAGAAAGCATATGTGATAGCTAGTACTAAATGTAACAGTGTAGTGCTATGCTATGTGATAACTAGTTCTCAATGTCACAGTGTAGTGCTATGCAAAACAATTACGATTTCAGCGACATTTACATATATAGTGCGTTATGTGCAATGTTTCATTTCAAAGTGTGAAAACGACATTATACATTGTGAACGAGAGAGAAAGAAGTTTCCATTTGTAAATACACGTATGCTCTTCGTCATTTCTCTATTTCTTATTTGGAAAGAGACGTGCTATTAATCAAAATAAATATAATTGTCAATTCAATAAGCATGTGTACATATATCATCGCGAAAACTATTATTTATTTTGTATATACAAGTGATGAATGTCAATATATATACAAGACAATGTTTCGGTTCTCTTAAATATTCTTTATTGCTTTTATCACAAATGAAAATAAACTTCTATATTCCAAGACGTTTAATCAAAGGTAAAAACACTCATAAGGTGCAATGGAAGCTTTTAAATTGAAGAGCCAAACATTTAACGATTTTCAAAAACCTCTGAAAAATAAAAACTCAACTAAGTACCCGGCACTTATTAGTGAAAAAGTGGTTGTTGTGACACTGTACATTCTAAGATGCCCCCTTTTTGACATTCTGATATGATCCTTTTGTATGTATATTGTGATAGCGCTAGCATTGTTCTATTTTGTTGTCTCAGTTTTTGTTGTATTTTGTTACAATATTTTTATATGAAAAACAGTATTTGTAAATATTATTTTTTTACATCTGTTAACATTCAAAACGAATGATTTATTTATTAAAATTAGAACTTATTATCATTTGTTTTCATTGTTACTTGTGAGCCACGAAGCATGTAGACCATTGAATTTCGTCTACGTGTTCGTCGTGATTGTCATTTTATTATATTGACTTATATAAAGCCATTGGTTTATTCTTGACTTTAATGAGATTGCAATTCAACGACACACACGAAAAAAAAACAAAAGACAAGAAAATGTTGGGAAAGTTCAGTTAAGTTATATAAATTGTTGAAGGCTTTACGATAACCTGTAGATAGGTAGATAATCTCTACCTCTTGATTAGTATCATAGTATATATAATCTCTACCTCTTGATCAGTATCATAGTATATATAATCTCTACCTCTTGATCAGTATCATAGTATATATAATCTCTACCTCTTGATCAGTATCATAGTATATATAATCTCTACCTCTTGATCAGTATCATAGTATATATAATCTCTATCTTGATCAGTATCATAGTATATATAATCTCTACCTCTCGATCAGTACCATAGTATATATAATCTCTACCTCTCGATCAGTATCATAGTATATATAATCTCTACCTCTCGATCAGTATCAAAATATATATAATCTCTACCTCTTGATCAGTATCATAGTATAAAAGTATTAACAAAAATACTGAACTCCAATTCAAAAACGAGAAGTCCATAAAATCTGACAAAATTAAACTTTAGACTTTATCAACCAACGGAACGAATGGAAAACAACTGTCATATTCCTGTTGGGTTAAACCGGGTTTTATAGCTAGCTAAACCTCCAACTTGTAAAACAATTGTTTATAGTTCAGTTATAATGACAATATTGGGTGAGCACTCCAAACAGACATAAAAGTTTAATGTGACAAGAATTGGGATCAAGCAGCCAAAACTGTGTAAACATACATCACAGACATACAACACAACTAACTAAAATATTCAACAAACATACAAATACATCCAACAAAGACGCCAACAAAAAAGTTGTTGTATTTGATATTGAATTTGATAAAGACGCCGGCAACAAAGTTTTGGTAATTGATAGTATTTTAGAGAAGACACCAACGAAAAAGTTTTTGTAATTGATAGTACATACTGTATATAGAATGCTGAATTTTTCGTTTCCATTCTCTAACTTATGTTTGCTTCAACCAGATGTTATGAAACTTATACACAATACTTATTACCACAAAACTCATATCA